GACCTCCGGAAGACGGACACACCATCCAACAAAGTGAAACAAGAAGGGGTACAATGGGAGACAAAAGGAGACAAGACCCTCGGGGAGGCGGACACACCATCCAACAAAGGGAAACAAGAAGGGGTACAATGAAAGGAAAAGGGACACAAGACCTTCGGGAAGGCGGACACACCATCCAATAAAGGGAAACAAGAAGGGAGGCAATGGGAGACAAAGGGGAGATAAGACGCTCGGCAAGGCGGACACACCATCCAACAAAGAGAAACAAGAAGTGGTACAATGGGAGACAAGGGGAGACAAGACCCTCAATGGGAGACAAGGGGAGACAAGACCCTCGGAAGGCGGACACACCATCCAACAAAGGAAACAAGAAGGGAGGCAATGGGATACAAGGGGAGACAAGACCCTCTGGAAGGCGGACACACCATCCAACAAAGGGAAACAGAAGGGGTACAATGGGAGACAAAGGGAGACAAGACCCTCGGGAAGGCGGACACACCATCCCACACCAAGGCGGACACCTTGAAATAGCATTAAGAACCTCTAACCGTACACTGTTTGGGGAATAAAGAATCCAATCATAGATCACTTGAACGCTGGGTGGAACAAATCATTTTGCCAAAAACCATTCTGCACGCAAGAAGTGAACAACATTTAATGATTTGGTGTTGTCTTTCCTAGCTGGGAAAATACGGCTGCTTGTGATGTATCCAAGTCACGTATCTACGATGATGTCTGAAGAGTCATGGACAAAGAGAGTGCTAAGACCTGCCAGGTGCTTCTTTGAAGAGTAGATCATGCAGTGGTGCTTGCCCTTGTACCCTTGTAAGAAGTTGTCCAAAAACACTAGGAGGATAGAATCAAAATCCTTAAATTTAAACTCTGCAGCTTATATTAAAGCTCGAATCAAAGCCTTGTTGTTTCTAGGTTCGTGGATGATGCAAACCGTTCAGCTGCACCTATTGGCTGCCAGCCGTTGAAATATGAGAGGGAAACCAGTCCCAGAGTGGCGACATGGTGGCCATACATCACCTGAAGCCAAAACTAAGCAAGCTGCTCGCTGTTAGCTGCAGTTCCCCCTGTACAAGTAACGTATGAGGCAATGCGTTTCACTTGCACACTGAGAACATCATCAGAGAATCACTTCAGGATCATGGCTGCTGAGAACAGCCTCTCCAATGCAACTGTGTTGCAAAGTAGTCGTTGTGCTTGGCTTCCACAAACTTGTGCGAAAAAGCTGTTACAAACCTGAACAGTAGTGATCGAAATGTGTATGACACACCAGCCCATACTCGAATATACTACTCAGTCCACTTCGGCATCGTGTGATTCATCAGCCGCGATGAATTTCAACCTCGAAGTAACACTCCATCTGAAGCCTGGGCTTCCATGCCAAATGGCCAACTGTGCAATGTAAAGACTGCGAAGATCCGCAGGGCATTCGCCACCTCAGCCACCCAGAAGAGCGGAAAACGGCCACGTGGTCCCACTTGCCTGCAGCCCAGCAACTTGTTTGCCATGGCTGAGTCCATAGAGTCCTCACAGCGTCGCGGTGATTAGTGATGGGCTGGCCCCTTGGGAGTCAAACATGGCTGGGAAATCCCCGAACTAGATGGAGTTTATAGCTGGGAATATCATCCATAAATGAATTGTTTTTGCTGCAGGTTTGATTACCACAGGGTATCTTGAAACTCACCGTCTCCTTGTGTCGGTCCACCACAGCCAACCTGCATGTCCAATCAGCTGGGTGTCTTTCGCCATGTCCCCCCGGCCCCTCTGAGCGCTGAGCCATTCCGGTTGAGGAGGAGAACTTCCTAGGTGCTTCCGATCCAATGCAGCCTCTTGACATTCTGGCTATGCGCATGCATTGTCCAAGAAAGTCGTGATATAGTCATCATATAGTCATCATATAGTCATGATATAGTCATAATGTAGTCATAGTATACTCATGAAATTTAAGACTTATTCGTTCCAGCGACAACCCCCGGAGTCTCCAACGCAGACACGCCAGGCAGGGCACGTAGGCCGTCATCAGCAGGTGCACCACCAGTTGCCAGGATTGATCACCAAACTTTCGGAGGTTGCCTCGGCTCTGTAGCTTCCCGGTGATGTAAATCAAAGAATTAGTAAACCAAGAACTCAATCCTGTTCTGAACATCTTCAAATGGTGATATGATTTAAAGTACAACAAAAAACATATATATATATATACACTGTATCAACAGTTAGGTAGATATATAGTTACTCTCTTACCTGGACCCTCCAACGACGCGAATTTTCTTGTCAGGTTTGTTGTTTACACTATTTTGCCCGCAAAAAAATGTAAACGCCATACTCGCTCAGAACGGCACGGAATTCTGATGGCTATGGGCAAACATCTTACAGTAACTCGACAAGCATGACCTGAAAAACGCCCGCAAATATCCCACAAATGCTAGCAAATACCTGCAAACGCCCGCAAAATCAAATTTCCTGTAGTTTAGGTTATTTCGTATCTGCCTCTTCCAATCTTCTGCTCAGTGACGGAAATGCACCATGTTTCATACAAACGATATGAGTGTCGTGTCTTTTGGAAAAACGCTTGATTGTAGCAAACGCAAAGAAAATTATTGGCACTGGAGGTTCCAGATATGATAATCTATATATATATATTATTGTATTACTATGTATTACTATATGTCAACTATACTACTATCATCCTTCTGATTTGTGATAGCCTTCCGCCAGACCTCCCATGACTGCAAGGTGCGCGGTGCCTTCAGGGCCTCCTTGGTCCCCAACCTAAGGCCCACTTGTTTGGCAGTAACTCGACCTGGAAAGCCAGAAAAACGGGATGAAACATGGGATGAAACATGGGATGAATGAAGATTTCCATAATTCGGAGATAGAAGTGGAGATGTCACAGGATATGGTTTATTAATGTCTATGTTAATTACAACCAGTTCTTTGTGATGGCAATATAATACGTATATATTATATACCCAACAATAGGATGTATTGTGCATGGTAATCCATCCCACGATGGCCTAGGGGTTGATAACCACCTCATCTACTGACCATGGCACATACATGAAAGTCACCTGCAGCATCGTCATCCCACGTAACCCTCGGTTTTGCGTTCAGCTTGTGCTAGCTGCTAGTTTCCTTATATGTTTGAAATGGCCTCTGGTATACTGTAACCATTTTGATCAGTCGGAAAGAAAAACAACACGAAGTCACCAACCAGAAAGCAATCAAGGCAACTATACGCCCACACCCTTCTTGTCTTGGGAAGATCAAAAAAGGTATTAGGGAATATAAAAGTCCCACCCCCGTTAATTTTTACATTCATTTTACATTCATTGAAAATCTTCAATAAGAGTTTAATTCTCCCACCCCCCGCTAAACTTCTACATTCATTGAAGATCTTCAATCAGGGTTTAATTCTCCCACCCCTGTTAAACTTCTACATTCATTGAAGATCCTCAATAAGGGTTCAATTCCCCCACCCGCGTTAAACCTCTACATGCATTGAAGATCTTCAATCAGGGTTTAATTCTCCCACCCCTGTTAAACTTCTACATTCATTGAAGATCCTCAATAAGGGTTCAATTCCCCCACCCGCGTTAAACCTCTACATGCATTGAAGATCTTCAATCAGGGTTTAATTCTCCCACCCCTGTTAAACTTCTACATTCATTGAAGATCCTCAATAAGGGTTCAATTCCCCCACCCGCGTTAAACCTCTACATTCATTGAAGATCTTCAATCAGGGTTTAATTCCCCCACCCCTGTTAAACTTCTACATTCATTGAAGGCCATCAATAAGAGTTTAATTCTCCCACCCCCGTTAAACTTCTACATTCATCGAAGATCTTCAATAAGGGTTCAATTCTCCCACCCGCGTTAAACCTCTACATTCGTTGAAGGCCTTCAATAAGGGTTTAATTCTCCCACCCCCGTTAAACTTCTACATTCATTGAAGATCTTCAATAAGGGTTTAATTCTCCCACCCCCGATAAACTTCTACATTCATTGAAGGCCTTCAATAAGGGTTGAATTCTCCCACCCCCGTTAAAATTCATTGAAGATCTTCAAAAAGGGCGGGTTTAATTCTTCCACCCCCGTTAAACTTCTACATTCATTGAAGATCTTCAATAGGGGCAGGTTTAATTCTTCCACCCCCGTTAAACTTCTACATAAATTGAAGATCTTCAATAAGGGTCAATTCTCCCACCGAGGTTAAACTTCTATATTTGTTGAAGATCTTCATTGATGATGATGATGATGATGATGAGGATGTGGTGGAACGAACCCGCACAGGTCCCTCTGCTGTGCGTTCTGATCTAGAACATCAAGTTAACCATAATGCTAAAATATTCAATGTTTACCGCGTTTTCAGCTCATACGAAGAAGGCGGGCCAACAGGCACGGGCAAGACGAGGTGCTTGGCCGTAATTATATAAGAATCGTTCCTGATCTACTGAAATGGACCTGGAAAATTGCGAAAAAAAATCGTCAAAATGTGCCCAGGTACATCCCGCGATGGCTACTGCTGTAATTGCCATGTACAAAGCCAGCTCTCCAGCCACATGGATCCCTTCATTTCGTACAAAAAGCGCCTCAGTCGTCCACTGATGGGAAGAAGTTGCGACCTCTGAAAACACACAACAGGTTGACGTTGGCGGTAGCTCAAAGTTGCTGCCATTGCCCATGTGCAAAATCCAAATTGAGACGTGTTTGGGATCCAAACTTAAAGAGACCCGACAGGTTTCCACTTGTGGCTGATGACTCCCAATGCTCCGGTAAAATTGCTATAGGGATCCAAGTTCCAAAATGTTGCGACACTCAATTCCCAGCCATCATGTTTACCATGTTTGATCAAACGGGGAAAACGCTCCACTTCATCAAAAAGTCAAAACTCTTACCCGGTGATTTTCAGATTGCCAGGGGCTCTTTAAGATTACCTCCCCATAGAGAAGAAGTTTTATCATCCGGGCTTCTTCACTATCGAGGACCTTGGAACGATTCCATTGCGCCCGGTGCTTCTAGTGTGGTTTGGGTACGGCCAGCGGATCATACCGCGGTTGAGGCACAGTGTCACAAAAGAACAAGGCAAAGCCTGAGCACGGACAAACCAGGATTGGATTCAACTGACGTGCTCCCAGTGTCCGTGACAAATTCACGCACTGCAACTGGACAGCAATCCATAGCTGAGGTGGCAAATATCAAACAACGTTATTTCATTTGTTTGAATCTTTACTCATCCCTCTTCAGTTGAAAACAAATGTGTTTGACTGAAAGTTTGATACTCCTAGAAATCGACACTGGTTCATCATCCTTTTCCCTCTTATTCAATGGCCATCACTTGGGGTGTACCCGATCTGACAAGCCAACAGCCTCTGCCCCGGCCCTGCCCAGTGGCAAGCTATCGTCAACCCCAAGTCAAGTTTTGGGAGGTCCGGCCTTGCGTGCACGCTGAAGAGCGCGCTGAGGAGCGTGCATTGCAACGACTAAGGAAGTAGGGACGTGTTTAGCCCCAATGTGTGCTGAAATAGTATTTAATTGGGATATAGTGGGATATATATATATAATGGGGATATACTAGACGACGGATGGCCCGAGAGCGTAGAGGAGCAGGGTCTTCTCTTGTTAGTATGGAGACACCATATTACAAAACAATATATTAAAGATGTGTTATACGCAGTCGAAAAGAGGAGTATCAAGACAACATAGCCCAAGTACAAGACAGTAGTTTGCATCGTATCTTTTGTATAGCTTTTCACACACAGAACTTTTTACAGAGAGACGCTTTTACACACAGATGCTTTTAGACACAGGCACTTTTACATACGGAAGCTTTTGCGCACAGACATTTTTACACACGGAAGCTTTTACACACAGAAGCTTTTACACAGAGAAGCTTTTACACACAAAAGCTTTTACACACAGAAGCTCTTACACACAGAAGCTTTTACACACAAAAGTTTTTACACACAGACGCTTTTACACACAGGCACTTTTACACACAGACACTTTTACACACAGGCGCTATTACACACAGACAGTTTTACACACAAAAGGTTTTACACACAGAAGCTTTTACGCACAGAAGCTTTTACACACAAAAGCTTTTACACACAGAAGCTTTTGCACACAGAAGCTTTTACACACAGACGCTTTTACACATAGACGCTTTTACACGCAGACGCTTTTACACACAGACGCTTTTACACAGAGCACACAGAAGCTTTTAAGCAGACGCTTTTACACAGACGCTTGCACAGATGCTTTTACACAGACGCTTTTACACACAGACACTTTTACACACAGACGCTTTTACACACAGACGCTTTTACACACAGACGCTTTTACACAGAGCACACAGAAGCTTTTAAGCAGACGCTTTTACACAGACGCTTACACAGATGCTTTTACACAGACGCTTTTACACACAGACACTTTTACACACAGACGCTTTTACACACAGACGCTTTTACACACAGACGCTTTTACACAGAGACGCTTTTACGTCACAGAGGCTTTTACACACAGATGCTTTTACACACAGAAGCTTTGTACACACAGAAAAAATCGCAATTTTACCTCAGTTGTTGGCGATCGACCCTCATTTCGTGCAAAAGGGTTGCAAAGGGAACCCGGAAATCGCAATTTTATCTCAGTTTTTGGCGATCGACCCTCATTTCGTGTGAAAGGGTTGCAACGGGAATCCAGAAATCGCAATTTTACCGCAGTTTGTGACGATCGAACCTCATCTCGTGCGAAAGGGTTGCGCGGGACGACTTGAACTCGCACTTTTACTTCAGTTTTTGGCGATCGAACCTCGTTTCGTGCGAAAGGGTTGCGCGGGACGACTTGCAAATCGCAATTTTACCTCAGTTTTTGACGATCGAACCTCGTTTCGTGCGAAAGGGTTGCGCGGGACAAGTTGAAATCGCAATTTTACTTCAGTTTTTGACGATCGAACCTCGTTTCGTGCGAAAGGGCTGCGTTTCGTGCCGTCTCGTTGGCACTGCCCCTGCCCCCGCCTTCAGAAGAGAACTAGAAAAGAAGGAGAGGGCAAGAGGGCAAGAGGGCAAGAGGAGAAGATGTGAAGATGTGAAGATGTGAAGATGAGCAGATGTGAGGATGAGAAGATGTGAAGAGGAGCAGATGTGAAGATGTGAAGATGTGAAGATGAGCAGATGTGAAGATGAGAAGATGTGAAGATGAGAAGATGTGAAGATGAGAAGATGTGAAGATCAGAAGATGTGAAGATGAGAAGATGTGAAGATGAGAAGATGTGAAGTGAGCAGATGTGAAGATGAGAAGATGTGAAGATGAGAAGATGTGAAGATGAGAAGATGTGAAGTGAGCAGATGTGAAGATGAGAAGATGAGATACAGACCCCCACTATTGGAAGAACCCTGCGCTCAGACGCTCTCGGGAAAAATGGTTTAAAGTGTAAAGTTATATATATATGATTTCATTATTCTTCTTAGTAGTAGTATTCGTATTAGTATTAGTATTCTTACTATTTATCATTATTTTTGTTATTATTTTTATTGTTGTTGTTTTTATTATATATTATCATTATTATCACTATTATTATTATTATTAATAAGTATTATTATTATTAATAAGTATTATTATATAATTATATATATACAACAAAAAAACGAACAATGTGATTTTGGGTTTGTCTGAAAATGTGCTACTTCAATTCAATAAGAAAATTGATGATATACCATCAAATTTCATCAAATTTCGCGGTACCTATCTTCAGACAAGCTCAGAACGTGGCATATCCTTTTTCTGGAACCAAAAGTGCAAGTCTTGCTGTCCTATTGCCTTTTTCCGGCAAGTCTTTTGTGCGAACATCAATGGAGACTGGGAACCAGGCACGGACTTGGAGTCCACTTTCTTCTTGCTTCCAAAGAGTGGCATGGCCACGCTATGTCTACCCACTTGGAATGAGAGATGTTCAACACATCATCTCACTTCCGCCAAACCGTTCTCAAAGTCTAGGCTTTAGATCCCTAATGAGCAAGAAATGTCCTGCAATTGTTGCTCAGGAACACATGCCTGCAAAGAGCTTTCCACAATGCATATCACCAACCCACATCACATATGTGACTTTGAGCTGAAAAGCTGAGATCATGTAGCGAAGACGTCTCCACCCAGTTTTGCATCATCCCATGGAATTCTGCCAGCAGCAGCAGCACAAAAAGGAGTTTCCAAAGGAATCCTCAACGGTGCCTCCAGTGCTCTGTTCAGAAAGGAGAAGCACTCAATGTCCAACATGTGAACCTCGGATTTAAGGAGCCCCGATTCCCGGGATTCCCGCGACCTGTGAAAGATCTCATACCACCTACGAAAGCAGTGGCATCATGCTGATTCAAAAAAGCAGTTTGCAGGACATCGAACCATGTCCAATGTTGGAAATGAATGAACATAATTCCACCCGCACACATGGATCGGAAGCTATTGCAATTTACTGGTGAGTGGCATTTTTGCTCTAGATTCCCATGCTTTTCAGAAAAGTCACATAAATCGTGCCAGATACAGGTCTGACATAGGTCCAACAGAGGCCCAACATCGCCACTAAATAAGTCATAGCAGCTGTGGTCTCCTGACTGAATTGGGGGTGTCCTAAAATAGGACCATTGGGGTACCCCATTTATCAATATTTATCATCCAGCTATTGGGTACCCCCATGACTATGGAAAGCCCCAAGTCTCGGATGTCTCGGCAATCCCTGGAGTTTCCAATCCATCTGACTGGCTCTGGGCTTCCAAACTTCATCAATGAAGAGTACACCAGGCACGATATCAGCCTCTGATATCGTGCCCCACAAAAAGCTGGGCAAACGCTTAAAAATGATGGAAATTCATGGGATATTGAAAGACTCAGCAATTTAATGATTGTTGGCTGTGTCCAGAAATGGAGTGTGTATATACAGTTGTGCATAATTATACCAAATTAATACACCTTGACCTTGACCTTAACTGTCATTGAACAATGGGGACCATGGTGATACACCACATTCGTTTTGGGGGTTCCACATTTGCGACCCCAGTGATGAAGAGTGACAAGTTAAGGCCGCCTTGCCCTCCTCGCGCCACTCTGCCACTTTGGCGTCAATCTGTTCTCGGACCTGGCTGTGGCCACCGTAAGTCATTGAGTACAGGTCTTGTCAGCCAACCATGGAAACCACAAAAAATGATGCACTAATTTCATCTAAGTTCACTATTCCCAATGGATCAGAATGGACCAAAAGAATCCAACAGAACCAAAAATCTCAGACTGAACATGGCTGCTTCGTTTCACCGTGGTCGCCATGGCCTCGTGTTTGATCTCACCCGTGTCACCAGCAAAGAGTGCCAGGAAGCCCTGCTGCCGACCTCAAAAAACAGCACTGCTGACTGACATCCGAGGCTGTCAACATCTATCGAGGCTGGAGCTGTTGATCACATCAATCTCGTGCAAATTCACGGTGTGCACCACCTATGGCAAGGATGCTACCCTCTGGTAAACTAACATAGCTATTGAAAATGACCATTTATAGTGGATTTTCCCATTAAAAATGGTGATTTTCCATAGCTATGTTAGTTTACCAGAGGGTAGATGTTAGGAGCTGAGACGACTGGCCACGAGATGCCACGAGCAAAAGGCGGCCTCCTTGCGTTTCTGTAGCTCACCCTCAGGGCACTGAACGAAGCGTGTCTGAGGACCCATAGCATCATAATCTCTGGACCTGGCCACAGCAAAGCCAAAAAGATCCAAAAAGATCCAAAAAGCAGATTTCAAACTGCCCCTTGGACTTGGGGAAATTGGAGAAGTTGCCAAGGTCATGAGAACAGCAAGTGGAAGAAGACCCGCCTTGCAAAAGATCGGCCCAACAGCGAGATCTTGCCAGAGGACTTGTCGATTGTGATGATGTCACCAGCCTAGCGAGGTGTACGCTGGCTCCTTTGGCACAACGACATTACTAGTAACTGAAGGGCTCGAAAGCCGTCCCCCTTGGAGGCCTGGATCTGTTCCTTCTGGATGGTTTCAATCATCTTTTGCCTGCCACAAGCATTGATCCAGAAAGTAAACTAAGTAAAACTATTTTTTTGATTTTTTGGGGGGGAGAAATCTAATCCCAAGATATCCCAAGTTGGTAGTTTCTTTGGGTCCGGGGATTTGCATCACTGCTGCAGACTCCTTACATGGACAGGGCTGACTTCAAAGACAACTGCCTGAATTTGAACTCGTTGTGATACCATCGTTATGTCTTGTTCCATCAGTTTGTGCGACGTCATCGCATCCAAGCGGCCCCAAGTCATACATCGTCTCCATCTCAGTGGTCTTCAGAGTCATCTTGCCTCATGTCTCTGGCACCGCTTAACCCCAAAAGCCTCCCGGGGTTGTAATACGTACGTTCAGGCCGCCATGCCACATATGCTGTGAAAAGGTCAAACGGTCGATACGAAATGATTCGAAACAACTCGTCAACCGCAACGATGTAGTACAATGATGTGAAATGGCAAATGTATCCCCCGTCGCAATGCTCTCATTTGCCCTCACCTTCAGGCAAAAAAAACTGGCAATCAGATGCAATCAGACCCCTTGTATATTATCACTGGGATGGACTAGAATATATAACTGCAATAGCCAATAGCCATAGCCATAGCAACATCCATCGTCCATCGCCATGAAATCTAATGCTTTGCTTTTTGGCTCCCGCACCGAACGTCGCCGCCTGGCCGTTCGCCGGGCGCTCAATCTCGATCTCGACAACCTGGACATGACGGGGCCGCGGTCATCACGGTCTTTCCATGACGCGGGGCACCAGGTATTGTGGAACGTGTTGGGGTGGATAGAATGAGATAGAATGGGATACACTTCACTAAACTGGAATCACCAAAAATCATCTAAACCCTGCCCTCACCCCTCTCGGATGGTAGAAGGTCACAAACTGTGCCTCAGGGCTGGGGATTGAACCCTCAAAACCCGCCTCTCCCTCAATGATCTCGGCTTCTTCTCGTATTCGGACTCCAATTGATCTGCGGAAAGCCTGACATTCGCAAAAAGTCACACAAAGTCTGCAAGAGAAGTGAAGCGACCCTGGATATTCATGCAGTCCACCCTTCCGGGCGAGTTCTGAAAAACAAGCACTGCACTGCTTTTTGCATGCCACTGTGCTGGTTGGCCAGGGTTGCCACAGGTCAAGATTTGCAAGTTGAGGCCTTCTCTACTTAAGTTCGGCCATCCCTCAATCCACCCGGCTCCTCAGACTGATGTTTTCACTTGGTACCAGCAATGTCTGGACATGTCACAATGACACTGCCCAACTAGTTCAACCACAAGTCTCATGCCAAAGCTCTCTAACGCAGTGCACCCTGCGCCTGTGTGAGTGCCTCCGTCTTGGACATTTCCAGGGAGAAAATCTCAGAGCCAGCCAGCATTGTGAATGGCCTCAGTAACCCAACCTGCCCAAACTTTCATGAAAATAGCGAGACCTTTGCCCCAGATGGGTTCCGGTTCAGGTTGAAAGCATCATAAAGCATCCTCTTCTGACCCTCCAGGGTTTTGTCTTGAAGCCTCTGGTTGGCAATACTTCAGAGGCTCCATCAATCTGGATAAATTAAAAATAATTGAAGTAATTCACTAACCTGAAAAGTTCGGCCATTTGGGGATGGTTATCCCGTTATCCCCTAACCATCACTATATGCATGATTTCGAGCTTCCAGTCTTCCTAGTCCAGAGTTAACAGTCTCAGCTGGGGGCGTATCATCACCCAAGGCCTGTCATGGCTGCTGCAACTTGAGGGTTTTTACCGCAAGCGCCGCAATCCACGGTTGTCCCACCCAAATTCCATATGCTTCATTCAAATTAGGCAGGCAAAAAAAATCTTGAGAGCAGAGAAGCAAGAGCATTCGTCAAAGGATTTCGGCCTTGGCCATGCCCATTGCAATGGCCTTAGACGGTGCAGACCTATGAGGGTCAAGAAAAGGCTGTTTGAGAACTTGCAGTGTCCCTTGGGGTTGTTTGATCCATTTTTTGTGGATTCTTGGATCGTTCGAAGCCGCACAACTTCCCACTGAGCGCATGGCAGTCTTGCCAGTTCCCGGCTGGCCAGCAATGAGTACTGCTCTGCCTGCAATCTTTTCTTCCTTCAAGTCACATTCAGACAGATGGAATTAGCTGCTTGCAAGAGAAGTACCTGAATCCCTTCAGAATCTTGAAGATGTTCGTCCAGAGCACTGGATGCCTTATGCAACCCTAGCATAAGGCCAATGTGACAGAACCTGCAGGGGAAGTTCCTATCTGCAGGGCCAATATCAAACACCACAGGCCACCCTTCATGGTGCATCCCTTTCTCCCAGGTCACACAGGTCCTGAATCATGGACAAAATCACTCCAGCCGCACGCCTGGCTTCTCTTCTCAGAAACTTAGAGACGAGTGCTTTGAAAAAAACACATCACTTCTGGTCGTAGGATCTCCCCAACCTACGCCAACAACATACTGGGACTACCAACAACGTCATGTGTATCGAGTGATTCATAGGAACAACAAATCAGCTGTTTGTTCACAGATATTGCAGCCAGAACAGCTACGAGGAGAATTAACCGCTAGTTTTAAAAAAAAAAAACATCAATTGAAATTGCGAAATCCATAAGATGTCGCCCCTGCCAGGGATTAGCAAAACATCACCCAGCACAGAAGCAACCCACTTCCAGCGGCGCCTAGCACTGTTCTGCCCGACCATACCCTGGCCCCAATCCCCGGTCAGTTGGGATCAAGAAGTTCCAATATCAGTAACCAAACGTAGCAATGGAAGATCCCCGATTTATAGAATGTGTCCCATTAAAACTGCACAAAAACCTCCATGAGGAATTTGCCACGGCCATCTTTGATTACAGGGACGGAAGTGTCATGGAAATTCCAAGTAGCTTACGTCAAAATCTGATCCAAAATTCCAAAGGTGTAGTCTATAGTTTTTATTTTTTGAGAAAAAAAACTAGACAAGACTGACCGGCAAATGGTTGAAATAATAAGGATGTGTGGGAATAAAGACATGCATGATCAAAACTTGCAGGGTCCCTCCAATTGGGTCTGAAGAAATCGTGTACCCCAAATTTTGATCAATCTTCATTTTCCCTAGAAGAATTCTGATATTTGGGGAGTATGCCGCATGTTCAACCCCAACATCCTCTAAATATGGTTACCATATGTTGTATAACCCATTGTATCCCCATGAAACCCCCATGAAATGTCCATGAAAAATCACGATGTTCTCCAAGTTTCAGAAGTGTTTCGTGCGCCTGTGACACCATTCGTGCATCCAGGGCATCGTCCAGTCCCAGGCCACGGATATGTGAGTGGGCACCTGGGCATGGCAAACTCAGCATTCAACGAGAAGAACGGCGTTTCAACTGGATTAAACATGATTAAACCAAGCCTTTTATGGGGATTTATGTGGGATATGGGAGCTCTGTACATATTAGTCACCACTGTTATTGTGGGATATTGTGGGTGTCTTTGAAACTGGCGGATTACCCCAAAATCTATGGCCATTAAGATGATGGACCATGGGATTTGAATCTTGTCCAATCATCACAGGCTATGGTACCTATCAGGACCTATCAACTGCCGTGACTTCTGGACGCAAGAAAAACATGAAAAACCCAGAAACACTGGTGAACTTGCATGGTCTCCTCAATTCTACTGCCTTGACTTTGCTGAAACCTTGAAGGTGTTGGTGCCAAGAGGAAAGAAGCATGTCTTAGTTCATGCCAGAAACTGGCACCAGTTCTTGACTGAAGGCATGAACTCCTAGTTTCATCTACTTTCATCTAGTTTCATCTATATAGTTTCATCTAGTTTCATCTAGTTTCATCTAGTTTCATCTAGTTGGCTCAACCGGATTCTTAGGAGGGCCTCAGCGTGGCTGCTATGAGGTGTTCCTCTGTGGTTTCTACCCAGATCCGCTTGAGGTCCAGCACCGATTCTCTCCAGTCGGTGGACATCCCTAACCTAGCGGTGGGTGTCTCTCTTGGGTTCAAGCTCCATCATTTTTGCAAGTTCTTTACAGGATTCTTCTCAGACTACTCTGCTGCAACGAAAAAAAACATCCACTTCTTTCCTCTTGCCACTTGAAGGCATGACCCTCACACCTCCGCAATCTTGCGCGGATCTGTAGATGCCATCCTCGCACCAAGGAACAGTTAACCGTTGCGGTGACCGTTCCGGAACGTGGCATATCCCACCTGCGCTTCTCGGGCCTTCGCCGCTGATTTCTGGGCCTCCCCTTTTTGAGCCCATTGTATCAGCGAAGAAAGACATCCATTGAGCTGGTCGCGCTGATGTTTTTTCGTGGCCAAATTGACCAAGAGCGTGCTCAAGTGTCACTTCCCAATGTTTCAGTACAACTGGCGGTGATTCATACTGAATTGCCTTTTCCAGCTGGAGATAGCTTTGGAAGCTCGAAACGCTTCCATGGTCCTAGACATTAAACTCATGCAGATCGGGTGTTGGAGTCGCAGGTTCCGCATTTCTGCTGGCATTGGCCTTGAGGCGTATCCTTGTCTCCATTGAATTCCATTCGTCCTAGGACTCCAACACCAAGTCTGGAAGCCTGGGGCGTTGATGCGATGTAATTACATTGGCCAAGCCCTGTGGTGCTGCTGCGTAGCTCAATTTTGCTTTCAGACTGACACCACACAAACATTCTCAAGGGCATTGCTCTCTACCTGCGGCAGCAAGGTAGTCCATCGTCCTCGCTGATTCTGATGTTTTTGTAGTGTAAGATCTTACTGTAAGATACTTTCCCCTGCAAACATGATACATCTGATACCGAAAAAAAGTTGGAAGCCAGCAACAAACATCAACAAAGATTCACCGACCAACAGCAATGCTCTTTCCGTGCGCACCTGGCACGAGCATGGTGCTGAGGCCTGGATCTTTTCGAATCAGAAGTGGCTCAGTGCTTCCCCCAAGAAACCTCCAACTTTGGCAGTTGTTCTGTGATTTGTCTGGCCTAGACGGACTCTGAACTCGCCGTGCTGCCCACTTCATCATCTTCCTTGGGCGATGCTGTTTCAGGCAAGCCCTTTAGGGAAGAGAAGAGGCGGCAAGAAAGAAATGCAATCAAGCGATAGATGTTTGTTCATCTTCTGGGCACAACAAAGTTCTGTTCAACAAAACATGTTGCCATCAAAGCAATTGATGTCATTGCTGAGCGATTCCCAAGCCACTTTGCGCTGTGCGTTACTGTTTGGCAATTATCTTTTGACATCTTTTGACAACGATCAAGGCGTTCCCAGTGTCCCAGTATCAAACATGGCCTCGTTTGAAGGCTCAAAATCGTGCCCTTCAGATCTCCCAGAAAAAAATATCTGGGCTCAGTCACAAAGCTGGGCGTGATGCCATGTTTCGCCTCATGCCATGCCCGGTTGAGATCACCTATGGCCTTGGTCCTTTGGAGAGATAGTATGACTGGTATCAACTGTAGGATGTGGCTGTGGCTTTTGGTCTCTCATTCTGCCAACTCCACAATCTAAGAGTCGCACGCAGAGACCCTGGAGCATTTCCACCTGGCAACCGCACCCTCGGATCTACTGTTGAGAATGATGTTTTTGCTTGTTTCTGAAATACAACAGCCTCACAGGATGCACAGGTCTGATTTCGAGAGATCCCTTGCATAACAAAACGTTGACATATTATGTTTGAATATGTTTGGATGATTAAAGGACTATTGAAGTTATTAAAGGCCTGTTCGATGAGGCCAGTCTGCTCGTAGCGCCTTGGGAGAGGACTAAATAAGTATCGCCTTGTAGCGCTCAAAACTCTTCTAGAAAGCTCCCAAGTCAGAAGGTATCATACCAGTCATGAATTACATGGGTATGGCTTTAAAAAATTGATACAAATGGAACCCCAAAAGTCGTACTGTTAACTGTCCCTTTTTGGATTTTGGTGATCTCAAGCAAATCTGAAAAAAGGGATACACTTGGGCAGAGGCCACAGCTGCGCATCGATCATTGCCTAGGGATGTCACTGGGATGCCATGAGGCACCTGTAGAGAGGCATGGATCAAGATGGTTCAAAAAGCGATCCAAAAAAAAAGATAGAAAAAACATGAAAAGATATGAAGAGTGAAGCGTCTTAGGCTTGAGGGTGACTTGCATGACCCAAACTCTGGTCCAATGTGGTTCCCCGCACCAATTTATTCGGTTTACTCACAGTCTGAGGCCACGTCCACTCTCTCTTGTTTCTCTGGTTTTGACAAGGGCCACTCCCAGCCTGTCACTAGGAGATCATCCGAGTCCAGCAAGCTTTCAGAAATTTCAGGTCCTCCAGGTGCTCAATGCGCGAAATTCTCCTATGGACCCATCCCAACAGTGGGATTTAAGTTGCTGATTTATTATATTCATTCTGGTAGGGATTGTGTATTCTCAAACTGCCAACCGAATTCCATCAGAGCGAAGATTCGAATCTTGCCAGAGAGGCATTTGCTGTTGGGAGGTGGTGGCAGCAAGTCACCTGTGTCAGGAACAGTAGAATGCTCGAAGCATAGATGACAGCTAGGCAACTAGGTCGTCAAGTTACTTCGTCATGCAAGTGTCCAATCTTCAAGTCTTGCCCACAGCCGTTCCAAGTAGAAACCTTGCCGACAATAGAAACAGATTTCGGACAAACATCTTGGTGGTTTGCGTGTCAACGGCCATGAGAACTCAGAAATGACCTTCGCCTTCGCTTTCTCCTTCGGCATCGCCAGACCTGAAGACACGTTAGCTGAGGAGTGCACGAGTGCACACAGACCATAGATGCCTTAGATTCTTAGATGCCATGGATGCCATGGATGCCATAGATGGACCAATTTTTGGTCGGAATCTAATTTTGCAACTAACAGCAAGCACCTGCCTCGCGCTTGGGGTCGAGCTATTGCCTGGCACGCAAGTACCAAGTCATGCGTCTTTCTATGGGATTTCTCAAGGGACGTTCTCGACGGATGCCGCGCCTTCTTGGATCTTAGGAGGGGATGAGAGGTACTGTCCGTCCTGGCACAGTTTCTGAGTCATTACCATCGTGCAGATATGTGCAGATGCTTCAGGGGAGGAACTGTACAAGTTGAAGTTCAAAAACATCAAGCAGGACAGGCAGATCTGGCTCTCTCATCCAAAGATGCCAAACTGCAGAACGACACAGCAAGACTCCTCATATTCAATCCGGAATTCGCTTCAAAAGAGTAAAAAGAGTAGCCAAGTAGCGATGTCTAAAGGGTTCGCAAACACACGCAGACAAGCAGAAATGGGAGCCAACCAGAAATCTTGGCCCATTGGGTGCGGCTGCGCAGCCCAACCAGGAATCAATTTCGCCAAGGTCACCCAGTGAGGCTTTGCCAATGACGCCAGCGCCTCACCAGGTCAGCCAGGTCAGCCAGGTCAGCCAGGTCCGAATCCATCGGAGTGAAAAAACGACCGTACCGATCAGTACCGTAGAGTCTTAGTCCAAGCCCGAGCCTGCGCAGTCTTTTGCGGAGTCATTTGAGTCATTTGAGTCATTTGCCTTCCTGGCGCAACTTGTGGTATGGCCCATAGTATTCCAAGAGTAGCATTTCCGATCAATGACAAAATCATACGAAATCCATTTTCAGCCATCTTCATCCATTTTCCAGGTGTTTCTGCACACATGGCTTGGTCTGAACATGCCGCCGTACCTTCTGGAGTCCAAGCAGCTGGGCCCTGCACAACGACTTCTTCCACTGAAGTGGACATGGCTCAAAGATGCGGTACCAACGGACCCACAAAACTCCGTGCTTTTGTTGGGGGGTTGAACATCTACTCTCGGGAATGTATATATATATATATACATGATTTTGAGCTATTCCCAAACGCGGGGAAAAAAAGACATGAACTCTGAACACATTCGGTCAATTCCTGCCATTGTTCAATGCCTTCTCGTTGCATTGCTTGGCGTCCGACAGCACAGATGACCTCCAGTATCCAGTTTGGCTTGGTACCCTTCTGACGGCTGCTCAGTGGACATTCATCCACCCCCAATCCCATGCTCCCGGACCCATTCCCTGGCCCACATCTATTTGTTGGGGTCACAACAGGGATGTATTTCTGAAGCTGGAAGCCGAAAGCTGAAGCCCAGCTGGGGTGCGAGCAAGCCCAAGCGCAAAGCCTACAACAAGGTCGTCTTGCTCTCAGATGCAAAGATGCCACACAAGTATGATTTGTTTCTTCAAAAAAAAACTGGTGCAGGGATGTGTGGCATGTTCAAAACCATCAGCAGCGAAGAGAGTTACTTGTTTTCATCCTTCCCCTTTCAACATCTTTCAACAAAGATATTGGAATCATTGGCCGTCCTCAAAAGCAGCATCCGGTCGGCCCTGTGGAGGGTTGGCCTCCCATTCTCTGAGGAAATCGACAGGATCCAATGGTTCTATGATAAAAACATGTAAAGATGTACCAGAAGAACCTCACTTGAAGACCAGTACACAACATCACTTGAAGAAAAGGAATGGCGACAACATCCAAAAAGCAAGATTATACTGTACCAGTTCACCTGATGAGTTGCAATTGCAGCACTTGCATATCTGATATGTTGGGGGCACCTCGAGCTGCTGTGAGACCTCCTGGTGCGGACGGCTGCTGAACTCGTGGCACACTTTGGTCAGATCTCCAGGCTCATATCATAACATCACTTTGACACAAGAGAATTGCGAAGAATTGCAGGTTGATTGCGTGTGCTTTTTCTTGGGCTTTCTTGGATTGAATGCTCAAATATGCTGAATACATCTGAATACTAAGATCATTTAGGTTTCACGGGCTCGCACTGTCCGGTCTCACGGAGTCTGACCTGCAGTGTTTTCAAAGATGCTTCCATTCGCTCAGCACGGACCTGCATTTGACAGTGGGGTTCCGTGGGATTCTTCGTGTGGGAAATTGGGATCCACCATTGCGCAATCCCCAACCGTTGTGACTTGGATGGTGCCTCCTTCTGCTTTGCGATGCCCAGTTGGACACACATCACCTCCATACCCTTGGACCACACAGTGCCGTATGGATGGGGTGGTAGTGGTGGGGTGGGCTAAAAAGTACAAAGGCTGGTCAAAAGCTGTCAAGGCTGCTTTGAAGAGTTGAGGAAACAAAACGCTTTGTGAGGTTAATTCTGCAAGATTGGATTGCTTCTTTAAGAAAGCTTTTCCACTGAGCGAAGCTTGGAAAAAAGTGAAACAGCCATGAGAAGGTCTTATGCAAAGGTAAACATTCTGAATACATGCACCGACACGTTCAGTTTCCAGTCCGCCAAGGAATTTGACCCATATCCGTCGCAGGGAGATTTTCGCCCGGAAGCTCTAATCATCATCATCATCATCATCATCATCACTGTTCAGCCAGAAGAGGCACATACTGGTGATGAAAAGAAATCCCCAGAGTCGCTCAGGACGTGGCCATCATGGTTTTCTCGTGCTTGTCGCGGAAGGCCTCCAAAGTTCAACGAAAAAAATGCTGTCTTTCATCCCTCCCTATGAATGCTGCATGCCGTAAACTGCATCTTTTTCCCAGCTAGACCCTGGCCTGCAAGTCGCTTTGAACCTTACACACCTGAGCACAGTGCCACAGCTTTGGACCATTGTTTTGGCACCATGTCACCAGCTGATCCAACTTCCAATCAGGCCTGTGAGCGCAAGGTGTTCCGCTCGGCCTAGGAGCAGCACCCACTCTCCAAAGGTTTTTAGTAAAATCGAAATCCAATCCATGACAGTTCCATAGGAAAGCGACCACCAGCCGTCGCGTGACAGATCGCTCCTTCAAGGGGTCATGGCTACGGCTGGTTTATGTCAAAAATATCCTGCATGTTATCATGAATGTATAGTGTTTACATGTTAATATATATATACATACATACATACATATCACATGTATAATATTATATGGTTTACATGTGTATATATAATATATGGAGAGAGAGAGAGAGAGACTATGTGGTCATTCAATTCATATAAACATAGTATAATTTGGTTAAATATTCATGTATACTCCGGAATTAAGATACAAGTCTTAGATTCAACCAGACAACCAAAGCATGGCATGTCTTCACTTCGTCTCCTCTTGCAGCTGTGAACGCAATCGCGACATCTCTTGTGCTGCCTGAGATCGAGCTGAAATCGAGCTGTGGGATTCACGGCCATAAACCTACCATGACTGGGGATGGCTGAAATCCAACCCATAAAAATATGATGATTTTGAGGATGTTTGAAGTTTGAGGATGGTGCAGATGGCATTGGGTATAAAGAAGAATTCAAATCTGGATCTGGCCAAACATCTTCAAGTTGAGAATGGCATTTAAAGTCCTCCAGGTACTATTTGCAGCTTTAGAGCCATCCTGCCTCTAACTTACCATCATCACCGTCTCCTGCAACAAAGTGCAGCGCAGGTGACCATCTGGAATAGAATGGGTGGACCCATGACTACATTGGCGAACGACGCCTTGTAGCGGAAATGAGTTGAGCACACGGCACTGAACTTGACGACGTAAAGTTTTGCAAGTCATGAGTTTTGGCCATGACTGGCTACAACCCTTCATCTCATCAACAAACCTCCTGCTGAACCCCTGGGTTGCTTCAAGGAAAATGTTACAGGAACCCCCGGGTTTCTACAATGAAAAGGCCGGGGGGTCATGCAAAGGTTCAGCACTTGATTTAATATGTTCAGTGTTCAAGACCTGAAATGATTCCATTCTGCTGGTTGGTTCAGAACGGGATTACGAGTTCATGGATCATCATCCGGTAGCTCCCTATAACCATCAACCAACCATCATTTATCAACCATATGTCCATGTTTAGTGGTTTAAAATCCATTATATAAAATCCCAATAAATAAATGATGGCCGAATATGGTTTTATCTCCCAATGTCCCAGGTGATGTTAAATCAGTATAAATCAGTTAAATCCCAAAACATTGGCTCATTAAATGACATCAAATAATTCATGAATCACCCGGCAGCCCCGTGGTGCTACGTTGCGCTCCCTTGCGCTCCTGGCCCAGAGCTCATTGAAGTGCGCCATCCAGGTGCTGCGCGAACAGTGGGAGCTGCTTCCTGCACTGAGATTTTCCATGAAGTCAATAGTTTTTGTTGTATCCACTTACAACTGGGGATAGTTTACAGCGTTGGAGTTGAATTGGGCTTGATTTCATGTTTGTTAGGATCATGAGGCCTGATTTTGCACAGCAGCAGCCCATCACTGCACCAGTGCAGCCCGTGGATGGCCCAAAAAAATGTCCAAGCCTCGAAGGTTTGAAAGAGCTTCCGACGCAGGGTGCACTGCTCCTGGCACCAGATGTTTACACCGCACGTGGCAAGTTGGACAGAGGTTGGACAAAGGGTCACTTAACTATGGGTCAAAATGATAGACCCCCATCATAATGGGTGGTTTGATAGCGAAGATAATCACCAAACGTATCATTCTCGAGCCATAGCCAGTCTGCAAAATGCATGGATCATCGCAGCTGGCGCCTCTTCCTGGGGATTGAGCCTCAGCCCCAAAATTCTCTGTGTGCCAGTCGGCCAAGCCCTGAGTCAAACTGAATCCTATTCCTTGTCCTGACAAGAACTGCAAATTCATTCTCTGTTCATTGTATTACTGTATTACTATCAAATGTATTCAAATGTATCATCTCCCCCAAAATACAGGCCTTAACAGGGTCGCTCCCAACACCTACATACAGGGGGGCAAATTCAAGAGGTACAAGTACCCATTTTCCTCGCCAAAAAAGTGGCTATCATTTACCATCGGTTGGAGCACCCCTGCAGGTCTGGCACTGGCTCTGCTGGCAACTCTTCAGCTCGAAAACTGGGCACCTGCGGCGTGCCGTGCCTTGGCGCTGAGGTGACATCCGGAAAAAAAAATACAAATTACAAAGAGTAAGTTTCAAAATCATTTATCATAGTTATCCCACTGTTATATCATAGTGAAATCCCACTAAATCCATAAAAATGTCCCAATCATTTCTATGATTTAGTAGTGTTACAGTAGATTCATCATTTCATTCGGTATGAATTACACTCTTTCAGGCTGAAAAGTGTCGCTCAACTCACAGATCCGGCTGAAGCTCCTGGCGGTGGCGATGAGGCTGCGGACACGCTGGAGACCACCGACATGATGGTGTTCACGCGGAGCTTCCACAGGGCAGAGATGATCATGGCTGCGGTACATCAAAGGGGAACTGTTCATTTACTTATGGGTCAGCTATCCTGTTTTTGGTTAATCATGTTAATGATAGCTTATGTAATGCCACGCAAAGTTGCTCGCCAGATATAGCTCCGCCATCTTTTTTGGCTCACCTGCTATGGTCTGCCCATCGGAAGGACACCAGGTGCTACTCTCATACTATGTGTGCAGAAGGTGCAACAAACGGTACCTTTCACATCCAAGTGAAAATGACAAAGCATGTTGAAGTGAACACAGTCTAACACCAGAGATTTGCATGGAATCCATGCAAAATACGTATATACAAGACGGTGTGAGCAAACGGTGACAATGCATGTTGAATGCTGGCAATCTCAGAACAGTGAGGATGTTGTTCCAACATGCGTAGATTCGAATTGTGTTTGGTGTTTTGTTTATCGCTTTGCTCGTGTCAACACGATGTCTCGGGTCCTCCCTGGAACGTGCTGATATCATATCTAGACATCTATGTATATTTCTGTATATATATATATGTCAATTGGATTCTTGGATACATTGTCCCTTTCCCCTTCTCCCTTGTATCAAGATTTCCTGCACCAGTCGCCTCTCCGACACCTGAAAACTAACATCTGCGGCATGACTATTGCAGTCAACGGCGGCGCTTGGCGGCAGTACCTTCTGCCTCACTGGAAATTGCTGCAGAACGGACTAAATGTAGTACTGGCAACCCCTATCATTTGATTTTTTACAGGTGTTTCTGAGAAAGAACATGCAAAACCCACAAGCCGCTCTAGTAAGTCGATGCCATCTTTGGCCGAACTTGATTCAAGGATTGGATGCACCACGGAAGCTTCAACATCAGCTCCCATCCGCTCCCAGGTAGCGGGCCTTTGAGCTCTCGGCCGGGCGCTTTTTGCCTGGCGATTTGATGCTGCTGTCGCTGCGAAACTGGTCCTGCCATCCCCTGCCATGCCCTGCCATGCCCTGCCATGCCCTGCCATGCCCTGCCTGCAGGCACAAAAACCAATTTGGAGTCGCTGGACTTTGCAGCGTTAAACGCAAACCTTGCAAACGACTCATGTTACATGAAGAATTGGCTCCAGTTTGCATTCGTGCCAACCACACCAGCGACATCTACCAGGCCTGCCAGTGGCTGTATGATAAAGTCAAAGGATGGTAAGAGTATGTCAGAGTGGCAGTCTTTGCCACACTGGTTTCTTCATCACAACAGAAGTACCAGGCTCTGTCTGCAGTCGTCACTCTACATGAAGAATAGCCTCATTACGCAAATGGCGCACCCCTGAACCGCCAAACCCTTTGCATGGCACCTATTCTTCTCATCTCCTCAGATCACACTGTGCTGCGGGGAACTGAACCGGTCATTTGCACTGCATTGAACCTGCTATATAAATCGATGGGTCACTACAAGGCCATATGACCATGGGGACACGGTGCCAAGGCTCCAGTGAACTTCTTCAGCCCAGCTGGATCTTTGATGCGCTTCGTCACAATGTAACGGCACATACTTCCCCGTGCCTTGCAGGTTCTGCCCCAGTTCAGATTGAACAATTTTGGTCCCACCCGGGGTGGACCAGGGTTCACCCGAGGGGCAACCAACACTTCGAAACTGACTGACAAGTCAATCCCAGTCACTGCATGAATCCATGTGGGTGTCTCCCCAAGTTATCATCCAAGAAATTGGTCAAGTTTAACAAGTTTAACAATATAGGAAACAATGACAATGACTTACCCTCTGGTAAACTAACATAACTGGGACCATGGTCACTTGTGACCCTATCATCCGGTCACTTGTGACCCTATTATCCCCGGTCACTTGCGACCCTACTATCCGGTCACCTGCCACCCTACCCCTTTAATAACTCTCACCCCCCCCTGCGTTCCACCATACAATTGTCTCCATTCTACTTCTTTATTTAAACTTCCCCCCCCTGCGTTCCACTATACCATTGTCTCCATTCTACTTCTTTATTTAAACTTCCCCTCCCCTGCGTTACACTATACCATTGTCTCCATTCTATTTCTTCATTTAAACTTCACCCCCCCTGCGTTCCACTATACCATTGTCTCCATTCTACTTCTTTATTTAAACTTCCCCCCCCCTGCGTTCCACTAAACCATTGTCTCCATTCTATTTGTTTATTTAAACTTCCCCTACCCTGAGTTCCACTATACCATTGTCTCCATTCTACTTCTTTATTTAAACTTCCCCCCCTGCGTTCCACTATACCATTGTCTCCATTCTACTTCTTTATTTAAACTCCCCCCCGCGTTCCACTATCCCATTGGTCTCCATTCGATTTCTTCTTTTATTAAACTTCCCCCCCCTGCGTACCACTAAACCATTGTCTCCATTCTACTTCTTTATTTAAACTTCCCCCCTCCTGCGTTCCACTAAACCATTGTCTCCATTCTACTTCTTTATTTAAACTACCCCCCTCCTGCGTTCCACCAAACCATGGTCTCCATTCTACTTCTTTATTTAAACTTCCCCCCCCTGCGTTCCACTAAACCATTGTCTCCATTCTACTTCTTTATTTAAACTTCCCGCCCTGCGTTTCACTAAACCATGGTCTCTATTCTACTTCTTTATTTAAACTTCCCCCGCCTGCGTTCCACTATTTAAACCATTGTCTCCATTCTACTTCTTTATTTAAACTTCCCCCCTCCTGCGTTCCACCATACAATGGTCTCCATTCTACTTCTTTATTTAAACTACCCCCCTCCTGCGTTCCAACAAACCATGGTCTCCATTCTACTTCTTTATTTAAACTTCCCCCCCTGCGTTTCACTAACCATTGTCTCCATTCTACTTCTTTATTTAAACTTCCCCCCCTGCGTTGCACTATACCATTGTCTCCATTATACTTCTTTATTTAAACTTCCCCCCCCTGTCTCCATTTATTGTCTTTATTTAAACTTCCCCCCCCTGCGTTCCACTATAACCATTTCTCCATTCTACTTCTTTATTTAAAACTCCCCCCCCCCTTCGTTCCACTAAACCATTGTCACATTATACTTCTTTATTTTAAACTTCCCCCCCCACTATCCCCCCCCCCTGCGTTCCACTAACCCTTGTCTCCATTCAGACTTCTTTATGTAAAATTCCTCCCCCCTGCGTTCACTATCAACCATTTGTCCTCCATTCTACTTCTTTATTTAAACTTCCCCCCCCCTGCGTTCCACGAAACCATTGTCTCCATTCTACTTCTTTATTTAAACTTACCCCCCCCTGCGTTCCACTAAACCATTTTCTCCATTCTACTTCTTTATTTAAACTTCCCTTCCCCCCCTGCTTCCACTAAACCATTGTCTCCCCCCCGTGTCCACTATAACCATTGTCCCTCCATTCTAACTTCTTTATTTTAAACTTCCTTCCCCCCTGCGTTCCACTAAAACATTTCTCATTCTACTTCTTTTTTACAACTTCCCCCCCCCCTGCGTTGCCACGAACCATTGTCCCCATTCTACGTCTTTTATTTACACTTCCTCTCCCTGCGTTCCACCATACCATTGTCTTCCATTCTATTCTTTATTTAAATTTCCCCCCCCCTGCGTTCCACTAGAACCATTGTCTCCATTCTACTTGCTGATTTATACTTTCCCCCCCCTGCGTTCACTAAAACCATTGTCCTCCTTTCTACTTCTTTATTTAAACTTCCCCCTTCCTGCGTTCCCACTAAACCATTGTCTCCTAGAGATAGATATGAGATAGAGAGAGATAGATAGAGAGAGAGAGATAGATAAGAAAGAAAGAAAGAAAGATAGATAGATAGATAGATACATAGATACATAGATACATAGATAGATAGATAGATAGATAGATAGATAGAACAAGTAAGCTCGCTACAGCGGCGGGCGCGGAGCTAGCTGCCCAGATGAGATAGAGAGATAGAGAGATAACGAGATAGAAAGAGAGAGAGAGAGAGAGATAGAGAGAGAGAGAGAGAAAAATAGATAAGAAAGAAAGAAAGATAGATAGATAGATAAGATATAAGATAAGATAAGATAGATAGATAGATAGATCGGTAGGTAGATAGATAGATAAATAGATAGATAGATAAATAAATAACATGTAGCTTCGAAGCCCTTAAACGAAGCTTTTCTGCGAGACTTCCTTCAAACATGAAGCTTCGAAACTCAAAAACCAAACTTTTCTGCGAGACTTCCTTCAAAAATGAAGCTTCGAAGCTCTAAAACGAAGCTTTTCTACGAGACTTCATTCAAAACTGAAGCTTCCAAACTCAAAAACCCAGCTTTTCCGCGAAACTTCCTTCAAAAATGAAGCTTCGAAGCTCTAAAACGAAGCTTTTCTGCGAGACTTCCTTCAAAAATGAAGCTGCGAAACTCAAAAACGAAGCTTTTCTGCGAGACTTCCTTCAAAAATGATACTTCGGGCACGAATAGGGTCACAGGCGACCACAAAGGGGACGCACCATTTTTGTGTGACAGGTGTGGGACTCCAAGCACACTTGGTCACTTGTGACCCTATCTTTTTTACTTCAAAACGTAGAAACAGTGAATAGGGTCACAAGCGACCAATGTCCCACATAACTATGGAAAATCACCATTTTTAATGCGAAAATCCACTATAAATGGCCATTTTCAATAGCTATGTTAAATTACCAGAGGGTAAAATATCTGCCTCTAATTTCGATGAATTTAGGAAACCTCCATTTCTTTCCAGCTCAAGGCGTTGTCAACTGGGGGCCACAGCTTGCTTTACCAGGCTGGAGGGTCCAGAGAAGTCACAGGTCACCACTTTTAGACCTGAGGTTGGCTAATGGTTGTTTAATGGTTGTCTACTAGGAGTTCCCAGTTCATGGATGAGGATGAGGAGGATGATGATGATGATGATGATGATGGATGCTGACTAATTGTCAATTAAACACAAATTAAAGGACCGGATAACCCCACATGTTACCAACTTCTTTAGACTTAGACTGACCATAGAAGAGCAAGAAGGGAAGAGGAAGTATAAGAGTGATGGAGCGGTGATGGTGGGTGAGTTTGTGTGTATGTATGTATGTTCATGTACAGTGAGTGAGCGAGTGAGTGAGTGAGTGAGCGAGCGAGCGAGTGAGTGAGTGAGTGAGTGAGAGTGTGAGTGAGTGATGCGAGTGTGGTGTGTGTGAGTGAGGGATGTGAGAGTGAGTGAAGTGAGTGAAGTGAAGTGAAGTGAAGTGAAGTGAAGTGAAGTGAAGTGAAGTGAAGTGAGTGAGTGGGTGAGTGAGTGAGTGCGGTAGGTGAGGTAGGTGAGGTAGGTGGTGAGGTAGGTGAGGTAGGTGAGGTAGGTGAGGTCGGTGAGGTCGGTGAGGTCGGTGAGGTCGGTGAGGTCGGTGAGGTAGGTGAGGTAGGTGAGGTAGGTGAGGTAGGTGAGGTAGGTGAGGTAGGTGAGGTAGGTGAGGTAGGTGAGGTAGGTGAGGTGGGTGAGGTGGGTGAGGTAGGTGAGTGAGTGAATGTGAGTGAATGTGAGTGAATGTGAGTGAGTGTGAGTGAGTGTGAGTGAGTGTGAGTGAATGTGAGTGAGTGTGAGTGAGTGTGAGTGAGTGTGAAGCCTCCCATTAACGTCCCCACCACCGGCCAACGTGGTGTCGGCTCGACCTAAGCCGAACCGTTTGGTAAGGACGAAGGCATCGACCTCAGTGAAGAAACAGACTTAGACGGAGCACAGAAAGCGAGAAGGGAAGAGGAAGGATAAGAGTGATGGAGGGACGATGGTGGTATGTATGTAGGTAGGTAGGTAGGTAGGTAGGTTAGGTAGGTAGGTAGGTATGTATTTAGGTATCTATGTATGTATGTACGTAGGGTAAGTTGTTTGTGAGTAAGTTGCTTCGCTTTCATCGAGTTCCACCAGGCTCTGATGTTTTTTTTTCCGACACACTATCAAAACGATGGTGTGCTCACCATACTTCCGCTGACCAAAGTAATGTTCTGCACTCTTTCGAGCGCAGCCGCACATTTTGTGATCTCTTTCTGCATGCCCTGTGGCTGGTAAACATCGCTGGCACATGATGATGATGATGATGATGATGATGGTGATGATGATGATGATGATGATGATGATGTATGTGAGTGAGTGAGTGAGTGAGTGAGTGAGTGAGTGAGTGAGTGAGTGAGTGAGTGAGTGAGTGAGTGAGTGAGGGAGTGAGTGAAGTGAAATGAAGTGAAGTGAAGTGAAGTGAAGTGAGTGAGTGAGTGAGCGGGTGAGTGAGGGAGGGAGGGAGGGAGTGAGTGAGTGAGTGATTGAGTGTGTGTGTGTGTGGGTGTGTGGGTGTGTGGGTGAGTGGGTGAGTGGGTGAGTGGGTGAGTGGGTGAGTGGGTGAGTGGGTGAGTGGGTGAGTGGGTGAGTGAGTGAGTGAGTGAGTGAGTGAGTGAGTGAGTGAGGGAGTGAGTGAGGGAGTGAGTGAGGGAGTGTGAGTGAGGGAGTGTGAGTGAGGGAGTGTGAGTGAGGGAGTGTGAGTGAGGGAGTGTGAGTGAGGGAGTGTGAGTGAGGGAGTGTGAGTGAGGGAGTGTGAGTGAGGGAGTGTGAGAGTGAGGGAGTGTGAGTGTGAGTGAGTGTGAGTGTGAGTGAGTGTGAGTGAGTGTGAGTGAGTGTGAGTGAGTGTGAGTGAGTGTGAGTGAGTGTGAGTGAGTGTGAGTGAGCGTGGGTGAGTGTGAGTGAGTGTGAGTGAGTGTGAGTGAGTGTGAGTGAGTGTGAGTGAGTGTGAGTGAGTGTGAGTGAGTGTGAGTGAGTGAGTGAGTGAGTGAGTGAGTGAGTGAGTGAGTGAGTGAGTGAGTGAGTGAGTGAGTGAGTGAGTGAGTGAGTGCAGGAGTGATTTCAGCGAATGAGTCAGTGATTCAAAATGAGTGAAAGTGAAAAAAGTAAATGAGTGAGTGTGAATGAGTACGAGCACAGTGTTCTGCCACGCAAAAGAGGCGGAGACCCAAGGGACGCCAGGGCGTACATCCGACCCCTTGGCAGTGCACATTGTGCCACGCCTGCCACGCAAAAGAGGCGGAGACCCAAGGGACGCCAGGGCGTACATCCGACCCCTTGGCGGTGCACATTGTGCCACGCCTGCCACGCAAAAGAGGCGGAGACCCAAGGGACGCCAGGGCGTACATCCGACCCCTTGGCAGCTCACATTGTGCCACGCCTGCCACGCAAAAGAGGCGGAGACCCAAGGGACGCCAGGGCGTACATCCGACCCCTTGGCAGTGCACATTGTGCCACGCCTGCCACGCAAAAGAGGCGGAGACCAAAGGGACGCCAGGGCATACATCCGACCCCTTGGCGGTGCACATTGTGCCACGCCTGCCACGCAAACGAGGCGGAGACCCAAGGGACGCCAGGGCGTACATCCGACCCCTTGGCTGCTCACATTGCGCCACGCCTGCCACGCAAAAGCGGCGGAGACCCAAGGGACGCCAGGGCGTACATCCGACCCCTTGGCAGTGCACATTGTCCCACGCCTGCCACGCAAAAGCGGCGGAGACCCAAGGGACGCCAGGGCGTACATCCGACCCCTTGGCAGTGCACATTGTCCCACGCCTGCCACGCAAAAGAGGCGGAGCCCAAGGGACGCCCTGAGTGAGTGAGTGAGTGAGTGAGTGAGTGAGTGAGTGAGTGAGTGAGTGAGTGAGTGAGTGAGTGAGTGAGTGAGTGAGTGAGTGAGTGGAGTGAGTGAGTGGGTGAGTGAGTGAGTGAGTGGGTGAGTGAGTGGGTGAGTGAGTGAGTGAGTTTGAGTGAGGTGAGTGAGGTGAGTGAGGTGAGTGAGTGAGTGAGTGTGAGTGAGTGTGAGTGAGGTGAGTGGGTGAGTGAGTGAGTGAGTGAGTGAGTGAGTGAGTGAGTGAGTGAGTGAGTGAGTGAGTGAGTGAGTGAGTGAGTGAGTGAGTGAGTGAGTGTGTGTGTGTGTGAGTGTGTGTGTGTGTGAGTGAATGAGAGTGAGTGAGTGTGTGTGTGTGTGAGTGAGTGAGTGTGAGTGAGTGAGTGTGAGTGTGTGTGTGAGTGAGGAGGGAGGACGGGAAGGAGGAGGAGGACGAGGAGCGGATACAGAACTAAAAACAAAAACCCCACACGTCAATGTGGGGAATAAAACCGAATTTACTCAGAGGGAAGCCTATTGGCAAAGCAAACCAGCACACAGGGTACATCTGAGTACCGTGGCTGGTACTAACACTAGATTATAATTGAATCCCGATCCTTGCTTGAGTAGAAAGCAACAATGAACATATCTGGATGACGAAAGCATCATCTACATCTACAGAACATTGGCCGCAGAAATCTATCGACAAACAGTGCTGCAACTGGAAACTCACCTGCTGGCAACCTCTTTGGGCGGATGGCCTTCCAAAACTCCTGCCATGGAGTGACAGGCGCACAGCTGAGATATCCCACGGTCATTAGCTCAGCTGCATCAGCTCCCACTCCATTTTTTGCGCCTGGGATGCGCAGTTCACCAACCACTTGATTTTTGCAGCCTTGACCTCCTTGCGAGTTGCTGGCGGTGCTAAGGGCTATGGAAAGACATCAAGTCTTGGTGCTTTATTGCGGGAAATTATCACGAATCCTGGGTAGATCATTTGTTGCACTTGCGTGCAGGACTGCATGCCCAGCCAGAGATATGTTTCAAAGCTGCCAGTTCGCAAAGCTACCTCAAAGATCCAAAAAGGCTATGGGTCGAAATTGGGATACCCAAACATGGATGGTGAATTACTGCTTGCTGACCTTACTACTAAAATTGATGAAACTACTAAAATTGATGAAACTATGTGGTTTCTGAATGTTTCTAACCTCCCAGCTCCCAGCTCCTTGGCGATGGCATCGGTAATGAGGTCACCCCAAAATTCGTACATGGACTTGCCTCCACATGCTGAAAGTTCAAAGAGCAGAAAGGTCAGGCTGGGCATTGGGAAACAAATCCAAAGCATCTCCAAACTCGATGGCAAAATCCCAGACATGTTCCGCCAACTTCCTGATGCCTCGGGAGGTCTTCAGCTTGGAAGCCATTTCAAGTCTGTATGGCCTTCCAAGATGAAGACGTTTATGAGGGCCACAGATCCGGAACACAGGAATTAAATTGACTTTGTTTGACTGGATAATTCTTTCTGTGGCAATGCTGCTATGCTGATAATGGAAGATGAATTCCTGCGAGCTGGTGACAGATTTCATATTATGTACATCCCTAAATTTCACATGGAACCCTAAAAATGGGCTTTGGAAAATGATGTTCCTATAGGTCGTTGCTATGAACTGGGGTTCCATGTTTAGATTTGCTATTCATAACTATCTTCTTGCAATTTCAAGACTGTCGGCTTCCATGTTTTTTTCGCCTGATGCTGTCAAAAGGTCGAAGCACCTGGCATCAGGCAACAGCCAGGCTCCAAAAGAACACGGTCTCCTGCGGATCAATGATCAATGGGATGATTTATTTTTTGGAAACTCTACAGAAAACCCATGTGTTTTTAACCATCAAGTATGGTTTTCTTGGGCTTTCCTGTAGGGAAAACCCTTCATCGAACTCTGGGAGTTTTTCCTACAGAAATCGGGTCGGCGAGACTCCATAGAGTGCGCACCTAGTGGCGTGGGGTGCAAATATGGAAAGGGCCTCCACAGATTGAATATATGCGTGGAGGGGAGACAAATTGGGAACAGTCCGGTTATGAATCATGAAATGTTGTGAATTAATATGAATCGATGATTTAGGTAGATGAATCCCACCAGCTTCAAACATTCAGAACATGATTGGATGACACATGAGTTTGGCATGGCTGCAAGCAAATCACGTCAAACAGCTTGGTTCCAAACAAGATTCGAACACTTGCTTGAGCATGTTTCTGTTCAGCCTGTCAGTGACATGTGGTGACCCTGCGCCCTCGTGACAAGTCTTGCTTGCTACACGCTGGTGACCAACGGTTGCGTCATGATGGCACGATATGGCACGGGCACCTTTGAAAACGTCGATGCATTCAATCCACGGAAGGCTGGTCCGTCAAATGCCAAGCCTCAGGCTGTGCAGTCCACGTTTTCAGGTCGTTGATCGCCTTTACTTGGAATCTCAGTGACCGACAAGCAGCTTTCGAAGGTTGTGACTTAAATTTTGCATACCTGTCCGAAAGCAGACTTGATCTGGGGGACGCTAGCGTCAAACCTATCTTGTAGTGTTGTAGCGCATGTCAAACAACAAAAGCCAAGCTGGAAGATTCAGTCCACAACTGGAATTTGTTTCTCTCGATCCCTTGCAGCAGACCAGATGACTGCTGATTAAAGTGCCTAAACTAGCCCAGGATGACCTGCAAAAAAGGCCCGGCCAGGGTTTTTGACATAGGGA